GCAGCCAGCACTCCTTTGAATGGCTATGACTTGAGCTGTCATAGGATGGCTCAGATCAGAGGGCACAGTGTACAGAGCAGATCCAAGCAGCCCTGTACCTTGTGATTGCCATGATGACCAGACAGCAATCGCAAATGTAAACACTCCCCTGCGTTTACATCCAAGAGCCTTCCCATTTCCCTCACAATGGAGGAAGCGGAGGGAAAATGTAATTGAGGATTGATGAATCAAGATATTATAGACAGCAGAATCATGCTGGGGATTTTAACTAACTAGGTTTGTTTATTTCTTCACTCCCTCTTCTGTACAGCTCATCTCCATCCTGCCTCTCTATGTGGCCTGCTTATTAACCAATCACCTACCTAACCCTACAAATAAATTCCCTTTATGACCATCCTCCCACTTAGCAACCTAGTGCACCATTACCAAGTTCTGTGTTTTAAAAATGAAAGCAAAGCCAGGTTTTGCAACATTTTCTGACAGACAGGACATTTAAAAGACATAAAAGACCCTGTTGGCCCTCTTCTCTCTTAAAGGCTTCCTCCTGCCCGTTAGTCGCCGTGTACACGGATCTGCCCATGTGCAGCTCTGTGTACATTTATGTCCCCGGATCTGTGCTGTGGCAATGCGACTCCTTCAAGCATGCACGGCAGTGACATCATTGCAGCCCAGCTATTTAAGATGCTGAAGACAGAGAATCCGAAAGAAGACCGGGCAAAGATTAAAATGCCTGGGATCCACCAGACTAATAACACCGCAGTGCTTGAGGGCTTCTTAGACAGGCAAGTTTGCCATAATGTGTGAATATACAGTGCATACTAGCCCATTATGGCTTATACCTGCAGGGTGCACCTAAAAAGAAAAAAAAAAAAAAAAAATTACAATGAACTTTACTACTGCTTTAACCAATTCAATACGGTATGCTTTTTCAGTTCTAAAAAAACTGTGGCAAAAAAAAAACTTTTTTGGAAAAGTAGACCAGTTAGAGTTTTCCTTTCTTTAAATAAAAAATGCCAGAACATTAACCTCCTTGGCGGTATGATTCTTTTTCCGATTTTTGGTGCTGAAAGCGGTACCATTTTTTTTGCATGGAAATATGTTTTTTTTTTATTGTAGGCTGTAATTCTTAGGAATAACTCACTGAAATCTGTCCGAACAAGAGTCTAGTAAACATCCCGGGTATGATAAAATTTGAAACACAAAATCATAAATTATAATTTAATAAATAATCATAAAAAATAATAATATAATAATACATTTAATTCAATAATATAATCAAACCAAAAACACTGAAATGTGAAATATAGCACCAAGTTCGCACATCACTGAGCAAAATCGTTTTCAGTGTCTGATGACGATTTTCCCCACGAATCATTATCACTCAATTCTGTAAGTGGTTCTGATTTACCATCGCTGTTCTCTAGCCGGTCTAAAACCGCTTTTGACCTAAAGGGACACTTTTTGGACGCCATGGACGTTTCTCAGTTTCCAGGCAGAAAGAACAGACAAAATGCAGGCAGGGCACAGGACAAAGCACTAGGGACAAAATGTATGTGAAATTGGTTGAGACAGCAATGTTTTACTATGTAAAATGTAAAAAAAAAAACAAAAAACATTTTTTAACATTTTTAAATTTCCCGCCGCCAGCGGCGCCCGTATTCCGACGTCACAGGGACAGGACACAGAAGCCGGATGCCGGCATCGGTCGGAGGAGATGGCCAGGGACGCTGCAGGGCATACATTGCAGGAGTGCAGGGTAAGGTAAGTGAAGAACAAATGCCGGAGCAGTGCCGCATGGTATTCCCGAGTGTAGCTCGGGGTTACCGTTTGTGGTACTGAAATGTTATCCCGAGCTACACTCGGGAATACCGCCAAGGAGGCTACAAAAGGAAAAAAAAAAAAAAAAAAACAATATTTTTGGAAAACTAGACAATCCAAGGTGATTGTGGCAAAAAAAAAAAAAAAAAAAAAAAAAAAAAAAAAAATCACCTTGGATTGTCTACTTTTCCAAAAATATTGTTTTTTTTTTTCCTTTTTTAAATGTTCTGGCATTTTTTATTTAAAGAAAGGGAAACTCTAACTGGTCTACTTTTCCAAAAAAGGTTTTTTTTTTTTTCTTTTCTTTTTTAAATGTCCTGGCATTTTTTTTATATAAAGAAAGGGAAACTCTAACCCCCTTTATATAGTAAAAGAAGTAGTTTTTAACAACTGCTTAAAGAAAAAAAAAAAAAAAAAAAAAGATATAAAATTAATTTGGGTAGTGTTGCATGACTGAGTAATCATCAAACGATCGCAGCCCTGAAACACGTACTGATAATGAAGGCGTATATACAGTCTGGTATTCACGTGGATAAATGAAAGGAGAGACCAGAGAAAAAAGGGCAGAAGTTCCGGCAATGGCTCTCTGCAGAATCCACAACAACTGCACATTTTAAAAACTCTCATCACATTTTCTCTTTAAGAGCAGCCAGCCGGCCAGCAGGCGTCTGCTGCTGGAACCCAATGGGAAATCGGCCAGAGCAATTGTGCAATGATCATCTCATGGTTTCACACTTTGAAATGCATCTGCAAGTGATACTGACTGATAGAAGGCTGAAGCAATAGTGGAGCTGGTGCCTATAGCAAAAACAGAGCACCTTTTAAATTGAAAGCTGAAAAACTAAAGAAAAAAAAAGAAAAAAAAAAAAAAAAAATCCTGACCATCAAACCGTTTCATCTGTGCTCCATTTAGTCTGCATCAGGACATCTGTATTCGTTTCCTGGCCACTCCAGATCATACCGTTCCAGCAGACCCGGCATCGTAGCTGCAGTCCGTCAGCAGAGTATACAAAGCTGGCCTTATATAGGAGCGGCTGGGAGGCCACAGGACCTGGGAACAGCACGACTCCTCTTCTTCATACACACAGGAGCACACGTACCTATATTTTGCTTACACATACTGTCTGTTAGACCGAGGAACATGCTGACACCCCATCCAACAGTACCACTATCTAGATTAACCCATTAACTGCACAGCAAAAATGAACCTGTCATAATTAAATTCCCCAGGGATCATTAAAAGCTCTATGGTTAAAGCCAAACTCCCGAAAGAAAGAAATTTCATTAAAAAAAAAAAAAAAAAAAAAAAAAAAAAAGGTATTCTTGCAGTTGGGCTCCCCCTATACTGTAAGGGTTAAATGCTCATTTTTGTCTAGCGGAACATGAAAAAGCAGTTTTACTTACCTTATCCCTTGCTCCTCTGACAGCAGGTGCCCTCCTCTTCTCTATGAGACTCTAGGTTGGTGGATAGGCCTTTAGCACCCTGATTTACAATGCAGGGCAGCTGAATTTTTTTGGACCCCCATTATTTCTTCAGAAGCTGCCTGCATCCTAGTAACAGAAGCCGCCGGCATCGCATCAACTGAAGGATGCTAGGCAGTAGAGCCTAGCTACATTCTAGCCACAGGATGCCAATCGGCAGAAGCCACTGGTGTCTTAGCAATAGGGGGGATGCCAGGGAGCAGAGAGCCACCTGTGTTCTAGTAAATCGGATGCTTGGCAGCAGGAAGCCTCCTATATGTTAGCAACAGAGGGACACTAGGCAGCAGAAAGCAGTCTGCATCCTAGCAACATAAGAATGCTAGGTGGCAGAAGCTGCCTGCATCCTAGCAACAGAAGGACTCTAGCTGATTCCTACAGAAACCACTCATGTCCTAGCAGCAAAAGGACTTTAGGCAGAAGCCTACATCTTTGCACTGTACGCATGTAACCATTGATCAAACTTTACTTATTACAGAGCACTTTTCACAGCATCTTGCTGCCAACTTTTGCCAGCAAAATCCTGCATACCGGTTGCCATGATTTCATTTGCCCTTGTGCATGAGCCCTAATCAAACTTAATGTAGCCAACACATTTTAAGACTGGTAAGCTGCAATATATTCTGTTTTGAGTTTAGATAGGCTTTTAAAATACCCAGACTCATAGTTAGTCTTACATAGTCTGGCTGAAAAAAGACAAAAGTCCATCCAGTTCAACCATAGACTCCGTGTTATATTTATTATAACCAGGGAGATGTGTAAATAAATGATAAATTAAAGAACCTACAGCCTACACCAGGGGTGGGCAAACTTTTTGACTTGAGGGCCGCAATGGGTTCATATATTGGACCCGGGGGCCGGACCAAGAGTAGATGAATGATGTGTATGTGTCATCATCCATAGTAAGTATAGTAATATTCCCCCATAGTAAGCATAGTAATTCATCCCCCATAGTAATTCATCCCCCATATAGTAATTCATCCCCCATATAGTAATTCATCCCCCATATAGTAATTCATCCCCCATATAGTAATTCCCCCATAGTAATTCAGTAAGTAATCATCCCCCCTATAGTAATTCATCCCCCATAGTAGTAATTCATCCCCCATATAGTAATTCATCCCCCTATAGTAATTCATCCCCCCTATAGTAATTCATCCCCCCTATAGTAATTCATCCCCCCTATAGTAATTCATTCCCCATATTAATTCATCCCCCATATTAAGTCCCCTCTGTGTCAATTCACTTACCTTTGCTCCGCGCGCTTCCTCTCGCCGTGTTCCCGCGCCGTTCCGGTGTAGCATGAAAATCTGTCTCCTATGAGGATCTGTCCCCCTCGACGTATCTGCGCATGTGCCAGTTTCAGGCATTAGCAGCCGATCGGCGATCTCCGGCACATGCGCAGATACGTCGAGGGGGACAGATCCTCATAGGAGACAGATTTTCATGCTACACCGGTCTTCAGGGCGGACTGTGAGAGGAGCCTAGCTCCGCGGGCCGGATTAAAAGGTCTGCCGGGCCGTATACGGCCCGCGGGCCGTAGTTTGCCCATTGCTGGCCTACACGGTACAAGAATAAAATATAAAAGACATAAAGTTAACCTTTGTCTATTTAGGAGGTCTTAGGAACGATAAAGCATATTCACATGAAGCAGAATTCATCCTATATTAGAGGGAGAACAAATACACAGTTCAGTCTGTTACCTCGTATTCCTCCACGCAGTTGACGTCGGTGTAATCAATGATGCACCTTCCCAGCCACTCGTCAGGCCTGGCACTCAGGATATCGTTGCGACAGTGCTCAAGGTGGGGCTGCAGCTTCTTCAGAAGACTTCGAGACAGCAAGTAACCAAACCCGCCATAGCAGTATAGTCTATTAGTGTCGCCTGCAATGAACTCCTCTGGTCTACCCAGGTACAGATCAGCATCGATGCTGAGATGAGCGGCCAGACGGGAGATTCTGTGGGCCTCGGTGTACGTGTCATCCTGTACCAGGTAGAACCAATCATACTCCTGAATATAGTGATCCAGAAGATGCTTAATCGTTTGGTACATGTTCCAGATAGGGCGGTCATCCCCGTGGGTCACCACTGTCATTCCATGGGGCAGTTTCCGGCCTCGCATACCTGTGAAGTACATCAGTTTCTCCAACCTGTGGCCGAGTGTCCGATTTACAGCGACTGCCAGAGTGTTCAGGGTGGTCTTGGAGGTCAGGACCCCAACAAACAACCGTTCCCTAATTCCAAGTTCTGTGCTTATATAACGAGATCTGCAAGGAGAGAGCAAAAGCCAAAATGTAAGAGAACTGAAGGAAACTAAAGACCATAAGTCAACTTCAAGCAGCTAGACCGAAAGTCTCCAAACTGTCCTTCAGACTTTAAGGGGGCCAAACTGTACCCAGTGGGAGTAAACAATGCCCGATCTTTGGTATTAGGAGGAGAAACAGTTGGTGTCAGTGGGAGGAGTCGTGACTCATTTATGTCGGCAGTGGAAGGAATAGTGCCCCACTGTTGGTGTCAGTGGGAGGAATAGTGCCCCATTGTGGGTGTCAGTGGGAGGAATAGTGCCCCATTGTGGGTGTCAGTGGGAGGAATAGTGCCCCATTGTGGGTGTCAGTGGGAGGAATAGTGCCCCATTGTTGGTGTCAGTGGGAGGAATAGTGCCCCATTGTTGGTGTCAGTGGGAGGAATAGTGCCCCATTGTTGGTGTCAGTGGGAGGAATAGTGCCTCAAGGGCCAGATAAAGGCAAGTAAAGGGTGGCATCCAGCCCAAGGTTTGGAGACCACTGAACTAGACCAGAGCAAGCAAGAACTAGCAGGACAGAATGATAATGAAGCCCGATTTAGTTCCTTTTGTGTCTTCAAAAAGGGGACTTCATAGATATGTATAAAACCGATCAGGTCTTTATAAAGTTTCAACTGTTTGTGCTAGGTGAATACAAAGGCCAAAAGGGGACACCAAGTCTATAAAGGACAAAACAAGCAACAAAACGTGCCAAGAAAGGGATGGTTTTACCAACTAATACTGGTAGGGAACCCATTAGAGAAGAGCCCAACCAGATATAAATGGACTGGATGTTTCCTTACATTAAATGGGTAGCATGGAAAGGTTTGGGTTAATGGAATTATCTACCCCTTCTGGAAATGGAGAATGTCCCAAATAATCAGGACCACCGATGTCAAACTTTTTGGCAAAGTTCCTTTCTAGCAATAACACGATAATATTCATACACAAAAGACTGAGCATATTTAGATGAGTGGGCATGGCCTAAAAGCAAACTAAAAAACAGATATAGGTTACCTTACCATTATCCTAGCAGACTAAACAACCAAGCAGCTTCTTACACATACTTATAATTATTATTATACAGGATTTATATAGCGCCAACAGTTTGCTCAGCGCTTTACATTATAGTGGGAGACAGTACAGCAATAATACAGCAACAATACAGCAACAATACAAGAGGGATTTGAGGGCCCTGATCCTGGGAGCTTACAATCTAGGAGATGGTTGTTTCTTTCTTCCAAAAGCCGATTTCACCAAAGGACTATTCATAGAGATGGAACGATAGTTCCTGGTGAACAATTCAACTAAAATGTACTTTTTTCTGGTTGTTACAAAGATTTGTGTGATAATGAAAAGGTCCCCTTTTGTAAGAATTTAATCCATGATTGCTTAGACTACTATGTAGGGATCTCCATGCTGCAGTTCTGCCTTCTCTCATGCCACAGGGGCATGGCTATCAATGTTGTCACTTCTGATTTAGAAGCCTGTAATTTGACAATCAGCACCTAGCCCCACCCACTGCTTTCCAGATTGACAGCGATCCCTTGGTTGCTGAAACCATCCCACTATGAGCTGCAGTGTCTGGGAGGAGAAACGTATGAGACACAAATAAAGGAGGATTTAGCTCAGCCAGGAAAGGTACATTATGTTTTATGGTAACTTTATGAGGCTTGTGCATCACATAGTAACTGGACCTGAGGCTTGTTTAAAAAACGGTCATATAGGAGCCTTTAGTTGTACTTTAAAGAGAAATATCAGGTATGGGTATTTTATACATAGTTACATTGGTCCAAGCCGGATTAATGTAACTATGTATATATCATACCTGGCTGATGCCCCGTGGAAGTTGGAAATCACTTAAGTAGACACTGCTACTCTAGTGAGTGCCATTTGCTTCCAGGCCCCAGCTACTTTCCTGCATTTTGAACACTGGAGGTGGTCTGCTTGGCACAGGCACCATTCAATGTAACTATGTATATACCACTTGCTTCCAGGCCCCAGCTACTTTCCTGCATTTTGAACACTGGAGGTGGTCTGCTTGGCACAGGCACCAGAGATTCCGCCCCTTGAGGACGTCAAGTGACAAAACGCGTTGGGCCTGGCCTAGTGGACGTGACGTTGGAACGTTCCTCCCAGCTGTCAACTGTGTTGATCGCAGTGCAGGAGGTTCGTCCCTTGGTTTTTCCTTTGTGGATGTGGCATTTTAGAGGCTGTCATTGCTGGTGTCGGCTAGACACCTTTGTGGGTGCAATACTTTAGTAATAAAATTTTACTGGTTTTAAACGTACTGCACCATCATATCTCTTCTTATTCCTCGAGCTTTGCCCAAGTTTATTGGAAGATCATTTGCTGCTTAGCTGTTCCATATGTGCTGATTGGATCACTATTGGTTGCTGTTCCTCTACTGGGATATCCTGCAGATCATCGCTCCCAGAGCAAAATGCTATCATGCTGGTTTATAATATAATCAGCATATAGCTCTGGTGAGTGTATTCATTTCATCTGGTGTCGGATTTGCACATGGGTGTTTGTTTTCAAGATTGACATTAAGTTGATATTGGACTATCACTGTTATGGTGGCTAGACTTATGTTTATATTTATGAATTTATTTATTTTTATTATTTATCCTTGCATGTTTTGTGAATAATTAGCGCACTTTTTATTTGTACACCATTCAGAGATTGCTTTGCATTTTCTGAAAAAAAAAATGTAAAATGCTCTACCATTGGACGAGGAGAGTGTGCATTCACCACCCAGCCTCTCCACCTCATCCAATCAGAGAATGCTTTACATTCTTTCAGTAAATGCAGAGCATTCTCTGGATGTCTCCTGTGCGGAGTGGCCAAATTTCTGTATTCAGAATGTAGCAGGGCAGCTGCTCACCATTGGACCCGGAAGATAGTGGAGATCCCTGGAGTAGCGGTATCTACTTTCCAGCTTTCAGGGACATCAGCCATGTATGGTATATTCAGTTACATTACGCCACGGTTGCACCAATGTAACCATGTAAAAATATACCATACCTGGAATTAATTCCGGAAAAGGGAAGCATTTCAGTTCTTCCTATTATCCATTCCAGAAAGCCTGTTGACATTGTTAATAACAATATGTATAGTTCTACTTTAGCTATATAATATTTATAAAATGCACCAAAACCCATCATAATCCAGAGAATACAAATGTAAAAAACCTGAGCCCCGCTCTTGCTGCCTCTCAGTATTTTCAGCACGTTCACCTAAGTACACACAAGGCTATGAAATAGAAATGTTGCACATTCAAATGATCCCTTCCATTCTGTTCACTAATCCATGAGGATTGCACCAATGCCAGTCTTCAGAATGCACCAAGACGGTTGGCAAACATTCCTGGTCATTGTTAATTCAGCAGGATAATGGGCTTGTGAAATATATGGCATTTCCTCTTCCACATGCCAGTGAGCCATCACATCCGATGGCATTTTCTGCAAGCCAAGAGACACAAGCTGCAATCCAGGAGGCTCTGATAACAAATGCTATTACCCATCCATCTCCCGCTCGCCTGCTGGCAGAAGACGGGGGAATTTGATGCTACATTACAAAGTTAAATGCAATACTGTATAGCAACAGCCCAGGCCTGCAACTTCTACATGATGGCGAACCCCCAACGCAACACTAGCAGAGGCAGAGAAAGCCGCTTATTCCAAGAGATACTGCAAGAGCAGATTAAGCAGCTTCCTCATGTCCAGCTGCTAATCAGAGAAGCCAATTATGTAAAGTGCATCAAGAGGAAAGGAAAATGCAATTTCTTTCTACAATAGATCTTGTTTGGTGGCATTCTTGGGTCTCATTCACACTGGTTTATCTTTTCTAAATGGAGGAATAGTTATTTGGGAAGTAAACTTTTGTGCCTCCAGATCACTTTTTTCCTGCGTTGCGTGTTGCTTTTAGGCATGTTTATATGCGTTTACATGTGTTTTGAGGTTCTAATCGGGTTCTGGACACAGACTTCTATTTTGTCTTTTTACCAGCTAAACGAACTGCACCTAAACACAAGTAAGGCCCCTTTCAAGGGTCTGATCAGGTCCACCTGTCAGTTTCAGGCAGACCTGATTGGACAGTTTATTCACCTCTATGGGCCAGCAGATGTAAATGGGCTTGTGTCCGTTTACACCCGCCTACTGCCCGTCTGATCCAAAAAAAACAAAAGCCAAGAGGATCGGTTCCCCTCAGTCTGGGCAGATCAGATCAGAGGGCAGTCAGGTGTAAGGCCTGATTCACAGCTATACGTCTTGTGTTTTTGACATGTTTTTTCTTTTTTTGGCCAATAGGAAAGTAATTTTATTTATTTCAGGTACTTATATAGCACCGTCACTTTACGCAGCGCTTTACATATATATTGTACATTCACATCAGTCCATAACCCTCAAGGGGGGGGATAATCTAAGGTCCCTAACTCACATTCATTCATACTCATACTAGGGACAATGTAGACAGGAGCCAATGAGCCTACCAGCATGTCTTTGGAGTGTGGGAGGAAAGCGGAGTACCCGGAGGAAACCCACGCAGGCACAGGGAGAGCATGCAAACTCCAGGCAGGTGGTGCTGTAGTTGGGATTTGAACCAACGACCCTAGTACTGCCAGGCGGAAGTGCTAACCATTTAGCCACTGCAAGTAATGAGTGTGAAGTTACACTCTCTGAAAAGGTTCCTGCACTACTTTGATGCAACTTTGAATTTCAAAGTCACAGCGACTTGAGCATTTGGCACGGTTCCATTGAAGTCTATTGCACCAAAAATGCAATCTGCTGTGGGGAAATAGAACATGCTGCATTTTCTCTGTGCTGAACTTTACTGGAACGTGGTAAAAACACATTTAAAAAAATGCACCAAATCGCACGTCTTTATTTAAAGTTCAGAATAAAAGAGAAAAATGGAGGAGGTAAAAAAAAATGCACCGGAAAGCATCAAAAATTTGCATGCAGAAACACATCCGAGACACTTTTTTCATTTTTTTTTAGTTTTGTTTTTAAAGGCTTTTAAAGTGTCAC